TGGTTCAGAGCTTTGTAACGTGTTCTCGAATTTCTCTTTTTTCTTCTTTTTTATTTATCTTTTGAGGAAAGAGATGACGAGTTCAGAAGAGAAAGGAGAATTCAACCCATTCTCTGTTATGCTTCCTTTAAAATAGTCATTTCTAGATTTCCTATCTGGATGATTGCTTGTTCCATGTTTGATTTCTGGATCGCTGATTAGATAAAACAGAGTTCAAAGTCACAAATCCAACCTGTGGCTGCTTCCTGTCTGTAGTATGCCCAAACGGTTCAGGAGTCAAGTTCCTTTCCCTAACTGACAAGTTCTTGTCAACTCCGCAATTGTCCAACCAGTAACTCGAAAAGAAGCTTAGAGATCCTTGGTGTTCGGGAAACACCAAGAATCGAAATAGAGAGATCATCCAGAGTGTTTCGTCGATCTTCCAGCCAATGAAGCCAATTTTCGAACCCGAATTCGAACTTCTGTCAAGACAAATTTCACCCAACAACGCACAACTTTCGAACAGAGATGCTAGATCATTTCAAGAGAAACAGGAACTTCCTCCCACCGCAAAGTCAGAAAGGTAACGCACAAATCGATCGATAAGGAACAAACACTAATAATCCACCGAAGAATCAAGCGGTCAGAAATGAAAAATAACTCACTCAATCCCGGAGTATCCGAGTAAAACTCGGATAGGTGGCAACCCTAGTGTGTAGTCAAGCTATCAGTTGTTTTTCGTCTATCTGCTTTTGCTCAGTGCTGAGACAATTGTAAAATTTTTGTTTTTAAATTTTTTATAATTATTTTTATACAATATTTTTGGGAGGAAAATGAGTAAAATACAGGTGATAGAAGCTTCGAAATCAGCGTATTGCAAAAGACAAAAGTTCTACGCTAACTGACGAAAAGTCATTTCGATTTATACGAGAAATGATGACAGTTAGAGTGACAGACAAGAATGATCCTGAAGCGAAGCCAATGAAATTTTGAAAATTTAAGCAATGAAAATGAAAATAATGTAAAAAAAATCACATTCTGAGACATCTGTAAGAGTGACTGTTTGTATTCAGGCCCCTGATTTTGACAGAAAACAAGGAGACGTCAGATCAATTTTTGCTGTTGTTATGTAAAAAGCTAGTCAGAGATTTTATCGATTGGTAACAAGAAATGAACGCCTTAAACATAGTGTCTGTAAACAAAAATGAATATGAGTTGATCAAATGCTGGTCATCGAGATACCACTCAGAAATGTCTCTATAACCCAAAGTGTCTGGACTTCTAAAAATGCTCATGAAAAAAATGTGTAACAAGTAAGATTGTGCTTGTCTGAAAACAAAAAAAAAAAATAAGGTTCTCAGCAATTGTAAATGTTACTCCGGCACTCCTTGTTCTAATAAATAAAAATCATTCATAAATTTACAGTATTTATTTATTATATTGAATACAATAATTAATTTGACAGGTTTTACGTGCATTTGTTATATTTTTTCTATTTTATATTATAACTACTGATTAGTTTATTTGTAGAATATGTAGCTATACCATAGAATAACTAGTCAAACTATGTAATTTCTTATCCATTCCACACTTAACCAGGAAAATTATTATAAGTTATTTTGTAGAATAACGGCATTCAATTTTTTAACGGTAACATATTCTGTTCTGATCATCAACATAACTGTTCGTATTGAGTCATTACTGATTGTGTGCAAGTAGTTTTATCACAGTAAATCTTTTCTACAAAATTTTTTTGATACGTTGAAAGTTACGATAGGAATAATAAGAACTAAACAATAGCAGAAACGTTATTTGGTGCGAATAAAAAAGTATAAATTCTTATAAAACCCATTATATCTACACGCACATATTCCTTATATAAACATAAATTTGATGTAAGTGAAATAATACAAAGCTTACTTGCAAATGTGTTATAGAGTACTTGATGGAAGATGATCATTGTAGCACCTTGTCACTTGAAGGTAAAGTTTGCTCTCCTGTTTTTCACGATAAACTTCTGTATAACTTTATCCTAAAATGTCGGTCGAATTTTTTAGTCATCAAGTAAAGCTTTCAACATTGACATCACTGCAAGCGAAGATAATTTTTCTTGTCCTTCTGTTGACCTGCAATACGTTTTTATCCTTCGCAATGCAGAAAATATTTTTTCAGCTGTAACAGTGATAGTAGGGATTGTGCCAATCAATGCATCAATATTATACGCCTTTTTTAGTCTTATTATCACTCATAAACTTAACCAATTCAAAAACAGGCTTATTTTTAAACTGTTGCGAACAATAGAAAACAGACGATTCATTCCTTAATACTCAAATGATATCAAAAGACGTTTCACACTCCATCTCCAGCATTTTTAAAAACTTTTTTGGAAAATATTTTTTTGTATTTGTCATACATGTTGCTGATCAGTAAGCAGAAGTCAAGTTTTTCCATGGTCTAAATAGTCGCAATACGCTTCAGGCTTGTTAAAAGCATTAGAACTTCGTCAACATCGTCGTAATCAAAAACGTCTACCCCTGAGCGAGCAATAGTTATAAATTATACCGCAATGGCGAACAGGATCCGTTGCAGAAAACTGGATTTCTGTTAATTTCGGATCAAATTGTGAACGCTATATTCGTAATTAGTATCAATTCAAAATAAAAATAAGTTAATTTTCAGAGTATTTATGTATGGTATTATTCATAAGCAATGTCAGCTTTTTCGCCCGATCCGAACTGTAAGGTAGAACGTTTAACATTTGTTTACGTACTGTCGACGTTGAATTCGTGAAGTTTAAGCGGTAGGATTTCTGGTATAACGCTATAATACATTTTCCATTCATAATTATTAATTAACTAGCAGGTGGGCCCGGCGTTGCTCGGGCAAAAGTAACGATAACTA